GCTCTGTCTAACATACTTTGGACATGTTGTGAGTAGAGACCGGTCCTTAGAGAGGGACATCATGCTTGGGAGGGTGGAGGGACAGCACAGGAGAGGAAGGCCCTCTATATGAGGTGGACTGATTCAGTGATTGGGATGGGAGTGTCGGAAACAGTGCGATTGGCACAGGACAGAGCGGAGTTTAGGGCTGTTGTACATAGGGTTGCTATGAGTTGCAGGCGACTCGACGGCACATAATAACAACAACAAAATTTTTCAAGAATTCTCGGTAATGTGGGTCTATTCATCTAAAACAGTCTACAGAAACAATGCTCTATACACTAATTATAGGATACAGAAGGTATACTGTATGTGTACCTTGGGTTTTAAATGTTTAGTGGCTAACTTGCTTCTGGTCTGAAGCAAAAAAGAGGGAAGAAAAGAAAAGAAAAAAAAAAGACTCTGGAAACAATGAGTGCAAAGTTCTGATGGATCATGAGAACCACAGCAACTCCTTTCCCAAGACTAGGAGAACAAGTTGTTGTTGTTGGTTAGAGTTAGGGTTAGGGTTAGGGTTACAAGATGTGAAGTTCAGAGAAGAATAAGGGAAAAACAAAGTACGAAATTTAAAAAAACCAGGCTCAGTGGTCCGGTAGCATCTGATGGAACTCTCAAGGCTAAAGCCTTTAGACACCTTCAAACCTGGCATTGAACCCACGCCAATCAGTTAAACAGGAATGAAAGTGAGGAATGAAGAACATGATTCTCAGGACAATAAACCTTAGAGACCAAAGATCAGCATCAGCCCCACACCCAAGTTGAGAAGGCAGGAAGGAGCATGAAAGAGAAGTGAATGGGACCCGGGAGCCCAGAGTGGCGTGTGAAGGACACTGCTGCTCTGAGGGGCCTGCAACAAATGTCCCAAAACACAAGGAGTGTGAAATGCCCAGGGGAAAACTCACTCACTCTGTAAATTTTCATCCAAATCCAAAATTAGATTTGATAGTTAAAATATGGTCTTTTCAATTGCTTTCTACACACTTGGAAGTTGGACAATGAATAAGGAAGACTGAAGAAGAACTGAAGTCTTTGAACTGTGGTGCTGGTGAAGAGTAAATACCCCACGGACTGCGAAAAGAATAAAGAACCCACTCTCGGAAGCAGTGCGGCCAGAGTGCTCCTCCTCAGAAGCAAAGGTTACGAGACTTTGCCCTCAGCGAGAGGGGAGATGCTGATGGGGACCAGTGACTGGCTGACACAGGGACGAACAATGAGCCCATGCACAGTGACATTAGGAGGAAGGCCCACGGCTGCATCTGCTGTGTACAGACAGGGTCGCCAAATGAGGCACAGTGGACTCAAAGGGACATAGCAACAGATCAGTATATTCAGTAGGCATAAGTTAGTTTGTTACCAAAGACTGGTAAGAATATAATTTCTAAGGGTTCAATAATTTATTTGGCTCTTTACTTTAAAGTAATATAAAAATTATCAGTGAGACAACCTACGGAAAACAGGGAGGCAAATTATTCTCACTTCCTGGGCTCAAATACCACTGTATTACATGTCGTGTAGACACTTTACCTTCTCCTTCCACGCTGTCAACAGCAGAACCCCAGGCTGCCCCATTTCCACTGACTGCGTTTCCATTGAAGAGAAAACAATATGAAAAAGGGAAGATTCCCCCCTCCCTCGTGGTAAGGAATTGTGCTGCCAATGCAAAGGGACACAGTTCAAATTCACCAGCTACTTGTGCTGGAGAAGGATGGGCAATCTCCTCCCGGGCCTTTGAAAACCTGTCAGGGGGTCCGTTAAGGGTCAGTTCTCACTTAATGATACACAACAACTATTCTAAAGCTCATAAATGTATTACAGAAAGAAAAACTCATGAATATACTTTGCCCAAACCAGAATTTTAATATATTCTCCAGTTTTGGCTAACATTATGACAAATCTTTTAAGAAATCATATACTCAAGAGTTTTCTGCCTTTTAAACAAAACTACAAATTCTACATGTAAAGTTAAAACCCACCTTGGTAGCAGGAAAAAAGAGATTTAAGAGGTCAATCAAGTATACTTGGGTAACATACCTTTTCATTCTAATGTAACAGAGTATTATTTCCTAAGTTACCAACAAATGCTACCATGGTACTTGCTGAATTAAAGAATTAAAAGGAGTTACAGAAAAGACTAAAATGAGTACTATTCACATAATAGTCACAAATTGTTACTTAACATATACTTTTCAAACGCTCAAAGGAAGTGCATTTACTCTAAGCAATTTCCCCAGAGAAAATTGAGTTACCTATCCATTTACCTTTTTAGATCTTTCAGAAATGGTTGGGGCTCTCTGTAGTATTTTTTCTTGAAGAAATTCTTTATTCTGGAAAGGAAAATAAAAAAAAAATATTTTCTTCTTAGTGGAAATTGTATAAAACATAAAAATTTAACAAAAATTTTTGCTACAATTAAAATGATACACATCTCACCCTGCAAGAATTGACAAGGTTCAGTAAGACAGTAAACAACAAATGCTGACAAGGGTGGTGGGATCAGTACTCCTATACTGTGGGTGGGGATGTAATATGTGCAGTACGAGGCCACTATTTAAGAGCCAGCAGAAGGTGTACAGTCAGAGTTACTCTTTTTTTTAAAATTTAATTTATTATTATTTTATGTGTGTGTACTGTCAAATCAGATCTGACTGGTACAGGAGGAGATTGTCCCTCCTTCCCCGGCAGAGCATCTGCAGAGTTATTCTTGCATGGTTACAAAGGAGGGAAAGAAAAGGTGAGTAAAAAATTAATAGATAATAAGACACTTATTAAATGGGTGACAGGAAAGACAATATAGAATGATTGTGAATAATCAGATATTCTAGTATTCTTGTACTGTTACAAAACAAAACGTGTATAAATTACAAGACACTATAAATTTTCATTCAAATCACAATAAAAATAAAATGTGGCATAATAACTATTTCTCTGAAGTTCTTCTAGTACACTTTACTGCTCCTACACATGGTTTTTATAAAAGTGAGACAGAACTTGGTGAGCACTTATCTATACAAATCTTGGTGTATCAAATATTCTTTAAGATTACAATCACACATTTTCCACTATGGCATCACTGCCGCAAACAGAAGAGTGGGGGCCGAGCGGCTTGGCATTTACTTCACTAATGAACCCTGAAAGGAGAAGTCAGCCCTATCTCAGAGGCGCTGTTTACAATGATAAAATTAAATATTCATTCATATTGTTAAGTTTAATTTTAATATTGTTAAGTTTAAGCTACATAAACCAATTTATATGACAAAGTCTATCCACCAGCCTCAAATTTAATCTTAGAAAAGAACTTACCAAACATAGTATATTCAGTGCCCTCAGGAATGATTTGATCTACCACCATTTGTCCAGCCATCTTAACACCGTTAAATGCAATTTCCAAACAAAAAGTACACACAATTCAGGTGATTAAACACTATGCATGAAGCGCAAGACTACAGTCTCCAGGACAGACAGACTATAATGCAAAGTAAAGAAAACAACAATCTTGACAAGTGGATCAGTAAAAAGCTCCATGATAAACGAACAAGGACTGATGCTGTCACTTCTTTTTACTAGATCCCACAATCAACACCCACGGTTGGAGCCGTCAAGAAATCAAATGCCGCACTGCACTGGGGAAAATCTGCTAAGAAATCACCAAAAAAACCCCCTCACATGCTAAAAGGCGAGGATGTCCCCTTACAGCACCTGCCGCAAGCCACAGCCTTTTCAATCACTTCCTGTGCAAGTGAAACCTGGACAATGAAGAAGTGAGACCAGAGAAGAGTCCAGGTCTCTGACCTGTGACGTCAGAGGACCCGATTGTATGGTGGACTGACTGCCGGAAGGACAAACAAACCTATCTTGGAAGAAGTGCAGCCAAACAGCTCCCTGGAAATGAGGACAGGAAGACTTTGCCTAAAATACTGTAGACACATTATTAGGAAGGTTCACTCCCTGGAGACCACATTAAGCTTAGAACAGAGGGTCAGCGAAGAAGATGACCTTCAATCAGACGGACTGACGTGTGACTGTGATGACAGAGGCTACGTGAGGATCTGCAGGATGGGGCGGGTCCCGTTCCATCACACACAGATGTGCTGTCAGGTGGAGCCCGTAAGCACCACTCAGGAACATACAGCTTCGAGAGGTACAATATCTTACCTTTGCTTTCTGGAAAAATTTGTGCCTTAGCAGTTCTGCTGCTGTTGGTCTAAAATCAAAGAGAGTTTTTAGTTAATTCAAGTATAATCTGAATTTCAGGCTTCCAAAAGGGTAAAATGATTTTGTGAAGAGGAAGATTAAAAACTCAGGATAATCCCTTAACCTTTTAAAAACAAAAGCAAGACAGTAAAAATTAGGAGAAACTTGGTGTGAGATGTTGAAAAAGCTAAACAATGGAAATACTCTAACAGTGATCACTGTAGACTTTTTGAGAAATTAACTTGTGAAATGTTTCTTTGAGAAGCCACTGATTTCTTAGGCCTGCAACACATTTTGAGTTGTGGTGCTGAAGAAGCGTCACCATGGACCTCCAAGAGAACAAACAGGTCTGTCTTGGAGAGGGTGACACCATGTCTCTCCCTGGAAGCTAGGATTTTGAAGATCTATCTCACATACTCTGGGCACGTGGCCAGGAGGAACCAGTCTCTGGAGAAGGACATCATACTCAGCAAAGGAGAGGAAGACTCCAGATGTAATGGACTGATACAGGAACAGAGGTAATGGGCACAGGTGTGTCAGAGCCAGTGAGACTGGCTCAGGTCAGGCTCCAGAGCTGTTGGGTCACGAGGAGTTGCAGGCATTTTCAATAATGTTTCTTTGACATAAAAATAATTTGTATTTCTAATTTTATGCTTCCTACAAAAGCTTACATATTACATGAAAAGTAAATGTTATATGTTAGTTTACCTTTTTTCTGGATCTTTTTGAAGGCACAAGGAAATCATTTTTCTAAATGATTTCCCATATTTTTTGAGCATTTCTTTGTCTTGTACACCAGTTTCCAAAGAAGGAGGATCATTCTGCAGTGTCAGCATTAAAACCTGTAAGAATTTGAAACAGAAATTTCTCAAGAACCAGTAAAGATTAAAAAAAACGGAAGTCCAAGCTTTCTGTAAACTTTTGTTAACTATCAATAATAAGAAGAAGAAAAAAAATGATCAGTAAAGATTAATTAATATCCTGGCAAAGATATTTTCAGTATAGGTACCTCAAACACGTACATAGATATTATTTTCTAAAAGTTCACATACAGACCAGCTGTTTAAAATTTAGAATGATTTGCATGGTTTCCACCAGACATGTGCATTAAGGCCATTGCATCTCTATCACTACAGCTTTTATTTACAGTATTTTTGCTTCTTCACGCCCCTCAACTCCCCATTCTTATACTGTCCGAAGAATACTTTTCACAAGAATAAAGTCACAGCAAAATTAAGAGTGTGAACTTGCTGGCTCTGCTAACGGCGCTTTTGTCCTCCGTCCCTCATAACCTAGCTAACTCGTCTCAGAATGTGTCAAAACCTTCTCTGACAGAAATCCCCGGTGACGTCCTACTTAACAAAACTACAACTTTTTATTAAAACTCAAATGCACTGGTTTTGAGTCAGAAGTGACTGATACTTGACCATCCAGCCAGTTTTCGGAGGCTGTAAATGACACAGGAGGAGACTGTTCACCTTTCTGCCTAGAATTGGCAGATGTCAGCTGGTAGAGGTCCAGCCTTTGGGTTATTATCCTTTTTGATGCCCTTGGTAATTCTGATTTCTCTGTCCAGCTGAAACCTCCTCATTCTATTTCACATTTCAAATTCTGCTCTTTCACAATTTCTACGCTGTTTTTTTTCTCTCCCCCTTTCCATCTATTCATGTTCACTTCTAAATCTAAACATTACCAAAGGGTTCTGTCTCTGCATCCATCTTTCTCAGCACTGTGCTTCTCCAAAACCTCCTCTGTTGGCAAAGATTTAATTGTCACCTCTTAAGACGATCTTCAAGTCTATGTATTTAATTCTGCCTAGCAGATACTGGCACCTGAATATACTCTTGGCAAATTAAGTCTTAAACTAAACTCATTAACTATATTCTTTCCCAAATCTACTGCTGCTTCTAATTCTCTTATTTCAATTTCCCCAAAGAACCCCAACTGCTCTATGACAAGTCCCTTAGTTGCCAATTCATCCAAAAAGTCATCCACAAGTCAATCACCATGCACGTACTAAACAGCCAGCTCTGTGGGAAAGCCTGGAGACAGAAACTCTAGAGAGGAAGTGGGTTCTCAATCACAAGGTCCACTTTATCAGGGAGGGGTGCCAATGCAGATGGAGATGGAGCTCATTCTCAGTATGTGGTCATGCCAATAAAGCTTTCTGAAAAGAAAATATTTTGAACAAAGAAAATGTCAAGCTTAAAAATAAAATTAAGTACCTGACCAGAGTCTTTTTGGTAAGGTGTAACATTTAGCCTTTGGGATATGGCATAAAATATTCTTGAAAAAGTGAGAGAAAAAAAACATCCAATTGTTTATGTAAAGAAAAAGCCGTAAGAAAAAAGAAGCTGGCACTTTCACTTAAATTAGCAGCATGCACACAGTGACTGGATGCCCGTGATTTTTTCACTCATTGGCCACCTAACCATCCCGGCCCTGAGATGAGTGGAATGAAGCACATATCCTTGAGCTGGGATTCAGGAGAGCTGTGTTTTCTACAGGGTGTGACTTTTTTAGAACACATCTGTTATAAAGTCTATACTGAAAAATAACAGTAACTCAGACAGTTATTTTCTACTTGCTCTTCAGATTTAATACAGTTACTGAAATGTATACATATGTCTGGCTACAACTTCAGAAGTTAACTAGCTATACAGTGGATAAAAAAAAATGTATCTTATTCTACTCTCCATGTACCCTTTGAAAAGAATAAGTCACTTCTTTGATCTGAAAATAGTTTCCCACATTACAACTATTTGGATACAACCTTTTCAAAGCCTTGTGAATATCCTCTTACTCCTAAGAATCTTCAAACTCAAGGCAGAGCATGACCGTAAAATATCTAACCTTCCACATGATCAATTATTTTATGTATCAATATGCAGATAAATACAGTTCTATCATGTTTTGAATGGTAGATATTGAGAAGTTTCTCATGATGCCTTTTTGCAGGTTTTATCACCCTCTGAACTGGCAGAGCCCTAGGGAACAGAGCAGCTTCTTTTAAAGGCGCTGAGTCACCTACGACTCGATGGCACTTAACAACATAGTAACAAGTTTAGATCAAAAAGTCAGTCACAAGGGGAGCTCTTGTGGCCTAGTAGCAAGAAGCTGTGCTGCACTCCTGAAAGTGTGTGGTTCAAATCCATCAGGTGCTCCACTAGAGAAGAATGGGCAATCTCCTCCTGTGCCGATTGGAATAAAGAAAGAAACCATTTTTAAAAAAGAATACCTTTAAGAAAAAAAAGTCAATCAAGCTCCTACAGATGATTTTCACAAGTGGGGTCAAAGGGCACGTATGAAGCAGGCAAGGAGAGCTAGAGACGACAGACACAACAGAACAGAATGCCATGTACATACTTGGGCTAAAGGGCTGAAGACAGGGCTGACAGTGGTTTCTCCGAGGACTGACAGAGCTGCTGTTACACACAGAGCTCATCATGGGAAGATGAGCACTTCAGCTAAGTACACGTCAGGCAAAGACATCAGGACATGGTCTGGGTTTGAGAGGAGGGACAGCTAGGGTTGCGGCTGGTTTGGTTTTTTCCTTTCCCTTTCTTCCCTCAGATGCCACTGAATCAAATCCAACAAGCTCATGGCAGGCCCGCAGATGTCAGCGCAGAACCGCAAGGGCATCCAAGACTTTCTTTCCAGGTGCCTCTAGATAAATCTTAACTGCCAGCTCTTCTGTTGGCAAAGTACTTCACTGTCTGTGCCACCCACAGAGTCTCTAATAGCAGGTCTTTAAGCAGAAGTTGCTAGCTCTTGCCAGTAACTAAACATTTATTTACTTAATACTGAGAATACTGTACTTTTTTGCATATAATGTGCCCGGGTAAACAATGCATGCATATAAAAGACACAGTGTGCCCAGGAAACTAGTAGACTAAGGACTGCAGTTTTCAAGAAATATTTAACGCACACACTGTTTGTATAAATATATGATATTCGCACACAGAAGTGTTTGGTGAATGTAATGATTAGGAATATTCAATCCCTCCAACAACCTTGTTGTTGCTGTGTTGTGTACCACTGAGTAGGAACCGACACACAGCTGACCCTCTGCTGGGTTTTCAGAAGCAGTTAATCGCACGGGAAGGGAATGTCTATCCTTCCCCTGCGGAGCAGCTGGTGGATTTGAACTGCACGCCTTCGGGACTGAAACAGAAATGATTACCATCCCCAGTGAGGCTACTCTGCACAGCTGATTGTGGGGTCAAGTTATACATAAAAATGACAAACACCGGTACCTAGCATCATACTAGTTAAAGAGTCAGAGATGGAGAGAGGAACAGATTACAGTATTATCAAAGAGTCAATTACAATACCAGGTCCCTCAATGGTAAATAACACACACAGATGTGAATGCCAGAAGAGAAGTGTAAGGCAGAACACGAAGGAGGAGAGAGGCAACTGAAGAGAGGCTTCTGAGAGGAGGGGGCTTCGCCCGAGGCGGGGGTTGGCATCAGAGCCTCACCTTCATGGGTGGGTATTTATGATAAGGAGCTGTGCCAGTGGCCAGTTCAATCGCTGTGATCCCGAAACTCCAGATGTCAGCTTTGAAATCATAGCCGCGGACCTGCGAAAATTGGAGATGCTGAATGTTATTTTCACCAGCGTAAAACACATTTGAAAGGCAGCTTCCACTACGTATGAAGCATCATGAAAATATTCACATGCTTTAAGCCAAGAAAATTCAAACAGGCAAAAGCGAAATATGTTGGCTAAAATAAAAATGAAAAAAGTAAATAAATAAAAGCTAAATAAAAGGCGGTGTTGTCGCCGCTGTTTCTGGAACAACTGTTCATAACGGAGCCTCCATCAGGTTTTCAGAACTAGAAACCAGGCAGGAGGCTGCCCACGTGTCTCCTGTGGAGCAGATGATGGATTCCATGGTCAGCCTTCCGGTGGGCAGTGCCACTCCTGACCCCCAGAGTAACCAACACTAAGGAAACTGTTAAGTACGGCTGAGTCAATGAAGAAGTATGATCTAGCTAACTAAAAGCAGTGTTTATGAAAATATCGAAACAGCTGTGATAAAACACTTATAAAAAAAAAAGTATAGGATTTTTAATAAGGGGTTTTTTTTTTTGTGTGTGTGTGTACCGTCAAATCAGATCTGACTGGTACAGGAGGAAATTGCCCCTCCTTCTCCAGCAGAGCATTTGTGGATTTGAACCACATACCTCTGGGATTACAGTGCAGCGTCTTGTCACTAGGGCATCAGAGCTCCCTAGTAAGTTTTGACATAACTAAAAACAGGCATATTAACCAAAAAGAACAATTCATAGGTGATGTTAACAAAACTCACAGAGATCTTAAACAGTCTATTAAAAAGAAGATACGTATGTATAAGTAGGGTTGGTCTTTTTATTAGTGGTAGAGGAGGACTGGAGAAAAAAACCCAACTCTCTTTAAAAAATATACTAAAAGCCTGAACTGCAATCCCAGAGGTACATGGTTCAAATCCACCAGATGCTCTGCTGGAGCTGAAACTTTGATTTTTTACCCATGAAACGAAAAGAAAACCTTCAGAGCTCTCCAAAGGGTGTGACACTCAGAGTTATCTGCCAAAGGCAACCTAGCAGATAATACAATCAAGGTTATTTTCATTATACTTTTCTTACTACAAATAAAGTCCTTTTTTACATGTAGTTTTATTCATTTATTTCTTCATGTCCTTACACTAGACAAGAGCAGTTTGCAAAGTGGATGGGAAATGAGTTTCAGCTAAAGAATGGAGAAATGTGTTTCCCCAAGCTAGTCTGGTACGTCAAACAAGAGCCAACATACGAGTAACAAAAGCTCAACTCAACCGTTAAAAGAGAACAACCAAAGACATAGTACCTGTTCCATAACTTCAGGTGCCATCCAGCACGGGGTGCCGACAAAGGTCTTTCTCACTTTATTTCGGGTAATATCACCACCAGTTGCTAAAAAAGCACTAACCCCAAAGTCTGAAAGAAAATGAAGTCATACAGTAACCACTCACAGACGTCAAGTGCAATAAAATAGCCAAGATTTTAATCCTAATAATAAATAATAACCCAGAATTTTTAGGTCTTTAGCTGGTATATATCTGCTTGTCTGAAAATAGGACTATTAAACTCTGAAGACTAGTTAAACATTTAGATAGGGCATGTAAATGAAATATCCATATTTTGAAGTATCTTTTAAAATAATCTACTCAGGCATCATATCAACCCAAGTATAAATTTAAGAGCAGAAACAATGCAGTAACATCACCAGTGCACATTCTACCTTAAGTTGCCAAGGAGAGGCATAACTGAAATATAAATGAAAAAGAAAACTTTGGCACCTCTGTTGAAATTAGTTCAATTAAAGTACAAGTTATTTTGGTGCTTACTATATGACAGAATCCAGAGATCTCTCTCTTCGGATGTGCGATGTATATAATACAGAATTAGGAAATTACAGTATCATAATAAATACTATCTACTAAGTACCTAACACTTTCAATTCAGCTTTTACTGAAACTAGGAAAATCCAAATGCCACCAATTTCATTACGTAACAAAAACTTTGAAGAACTTATTGACATTATGAATTTCTGAAAACTTAAACAATTAAATGAGACACTACTTTACAGAGTAACTGAAGAAAAGTTAATTATGTATTTACTCGTTAAATATCCATTTATTCTGAATCATCTCCTTCTAAGACAAAGTCATTTATCTGGAAGAAATCCCCTTGTGAGATTCTTTCTACTGTCGAGTAACCTCCCTGGTGTGTGGTGCATCTGGTCGATTCTGATTCCCAGTGAGGAGGCAGAATCATCCCACAGGGTTTTTCTGACTTCATCTTTATGGAAGCAGATCAGGTCCTTTTCCTAGATGGCAGGTAGATGGGTTCACACCACTTCCAACACTTAGATTAGCAGCAGAGAGCTTAAACAGTTGCACCACCAGAGACCCTTATGAAAACTTTCAGCTAGCAATTACATGGCTTGTTTTACACATTGAAGAAGTCTTAATTTACTCATCCAAAACACAGCATTAACATACTGACTGTCACTGACCTAATCACACTATAATTAGTCCATTATAAATATAAAAAGGAGTGGATTTTCTTAGATGTATGAAAAGTACCTGTTACACATACATTTGTAGATATAAAAAGTAAATAGATATTGTCTTTCTTTTATTGTAAATATTACAAAGGAATAGATATCAAACATAAATATGTACATAAAGGAGATGATCTTGAAAACACAACCATGTATTTAGCATCTAAGGCAACAGAAGAACACTGGCAGCAGGACTGAGGGGCCACCCCCTCTCCTCAGGCCTGACTTCCATGTGACAGTCATCTGACCCCACTAGCAATTAACCGTGTTGAATTTTACATCCGTTCTTTGTCTCTCCGTAGTTTATTTCCCTTCATTTTTTATCACTAAGCAATAGAATAGAGTTCAGGTCTTTTGTGCAAAGCTTACTCTGAGTCATAGTCAACCTGACGACAGTTAACCACTGCTAAGTGAAACTAGTGCTGTTCTATCTGGAGGAACACTCTTCCACTTTGTACATCACTCTCTGTCAATATGCTGTATGAGGAAACCTGGGTTGCTGAGATGCTGCACCTTATACCATTAGGGTATCAAATACCAGAATAGTTTCCCAATGTGGACAGTGTTTGGTGGAGCTCCCAGTTGAAAAACAGGTTTGGAAGCAGGAGTGGCATCTACTTCCTAAACCATATGTCTCTGGAAACTCTACGAACTTGGTGAAATGACAACAATTATGGAAAGACATTAGGTCTTTGGTTCACAGAGTCGCTATGAGTCAAGCTCAACTCAATGGCAATCAACAACAACAAGAAGAAGCAACATAGTTTATTTCTGACTTTGAACTTACATAAATGGAAACACACAGTATATATGTTTGTGTGTGTGTGTAGTTTTGACCTGTTTCTTCCACCGAACACAAAAAGCACTGCTTTAATGATTTATTGATGTTGCTGAATATAGGTTGCTGAACAATTATTTTTACTGCTAATAAAAATACTATTATCATTATTAATTCACCATCATTCAATATCATTACTTAATGTCTTCATCTATTTTACTAATGAAGGGTATTTCAGGTATTTTAAAATGTTACTGACTTTGCACTCTTTGGTGTACATAAGTAAGAGGTTCTCTCGGTCACACAGCTAGTGTCAGCGACTGTCAACTAGAACAGATAAAGCGCTCACAGCGACTGACAGTCCTACAAGCAGAGGAGGAGCGTGACCCCGTTTCACACACTCAGTAGCTGCTCGTGCCTGACAGTTCTGCCAGACCAGTCAGGCTAAAATGGAATCCTGATGACAATCTACTCGGTATTTCCTGGATTACTAACGAGCCTGAGTATATTTTACTATATCTGCGCTTGAATGTCTTCCTTTGGGAGGGGCATATGTCTGTCATCTTCCCATTTTTATTATTAGTGTGTCTGTCTTTCGAAAAAAAAAAAATCTGTTTTGTTGTAACTGCGAAGAAACACTGAACAGGTCTGTCATCTTCCCATTTTTATTATTAGTCTTTAAAAAAAAAATCTGTTTTGTTGTAACTGCGAAGAAACACTGAACAGGTTTCTAGATGTGTTCCGAGATATGTCCCAATTCCAGTTCCTACATACACACTTCTGTAACACTGACTACGTTCTTCAAGCTGCGCACCTTCCCCTTCTGAGTTGACCCACCTCCATTAACATAAACTCGGTGCCTCTTGGTTCCTATTTCTTTTACCAAGGTCACTTGGTAAGGTGGTAGAACTGAAACGTAGTTGGTTGACTAAGGGCAGATGATGAGATTCAGTCACCATTAAATCAAAACAAAGACCACAGCCCTTACCTGCAATCTGAACTGAGCCATCTTCTCCAAGAAGAATATTTCCTGCTTTCACATCTCTTCAAGGAAAAAAAAAATTACACATCAAAAAAAAAATTGGCTGTTTTGAAAAATCATGTATAAACAACTATTTACTCAAACAATACTGGTAAAATTTAAATATTGGTAAAAATTAAATATTTTTAATTTTATTAAGGTCAATTTTAAGTGTCTAAAAACTGAAGTCACTTGTACCAGAATCAAAACATTAAACCATCTAACTCAATCTCATAAGGACAAATACTGTATAAGACCCTTATTGTAAAAGCAGAAGAGCTATCAAGATGTGTACTAAAGTCCAGAGGGGGAAGAGCAGGGAGGAGAGGGGAGGGGGCAGGGATCACAGGGCTGCAGCATCTGGTGAGCAGAGGGAGGGGGTAAGGAAACTGGGAACAATCCAGTGGGGACTTAAAAGGCGAGGTACTGCTGGGTGTGGATCAATGGAGATTAATTTTATTAAACACAACGTATAGGAATGATCACACAATGTGAATGAAAGAATATGAAACATAACATATATAAGTAAATGAAACACAAGGTATATGAATTTCATATGCAAACCAATATAAAATCATTTCCTTTTTTTAATTGTAAAAAACATGGGGATCCAAGGGGGCAAGTGTTGGGAGCAGAAGTGTGAGGATGGCCAGGGCTGCACAATCTGGCGGGTGGAGAGGGTGGGTGGGGACCAGAAAAACAAGCAAACAAAAAAATTAAACTTCCAACTACAGCAGGACCACAGTATCTTATTAGACCTAGAAAATCAGATCACATCCTCTTGATGGGGCTAAATGTTGCCAAAGAATATGACCTTCGCTTAATTTGACTTGTTGAAATACATCTTCTTTCTATAACCTGCCACAGAGGTAATTTGTTTAAATGATCAATTGTTCAAGACTTCTAGAACACCAAGGAAGCCCCAGTGGCCGAGTGGTAAGGAGCTCTTCCACCCACCCCAAAGGCATGCAGTTCAAATCCACCAGCTGCTCTGTGAGAGAAACATGGGCAATCTCCTCCTGTGTGATTTATTATTGCCTTTGAAAACCTGCTAGAGGGTCAGCTAGGAGTAGTTGCAACTTTATGGTACATGTACACACACACACGCACACACACACGCGAGCATAAAGAGGAATAAATTATTCAGTGTCTGTATTTTCATCATTAACTACATCAACTCAAGTTATATTACACTCATACATTCTAAAGTCCTCAGTGAGAAAGCCTCTTTGCTCCCCATTCACAAGTCTAGTACTCTTTCCAAAGTTTGAAATTTATCATTTTGATTAATAATTCATATCTAAGATACAGCTAAGGTTCCTGGATGGCACAGTTTGCAATCAGTAGTTAACTGAAAGGCTGGCAGTCTGAACTCATGTAGACGACCTGAAAATCTGCTTCCATAAAGATTACAGTCAAGACAATTCCGGGGTACCGCTGTACCCTGTAACATGTACGGTCACCATGAGTTGACATGGATTCAATGACAGCAGATTTGCTGTTTGTTTTGTTGGTTTCGGTTATGACCTATGACACCCAGGAGTCAATGTGTTAACCAAAAGGCTGGAGGTTCGAGTCCATCTAGAGGTGCCTCAGAAGAAAAGCCTGATGATCTACTTCAGAAAAAGCAGCCACTAACAGTTAGTTCTACAGAGCACAGTCCCCTCCAGCACCCACGAGGCGGCCGTGAATCAGGATGACTCAAAGCACACTGAGCCGTCAACGCAGGGAGCTCTGGGAGCCTACGGGTAAGGAGCTGCGCTGAAATCCTAAAGGAACACGGCTCAAATCACCAGCTGCTCCCCGGGAGAAGGATGGGCAATCTCCTTCTCGAGATTTACAGCCTCTGAAATCCCTCTGGAAGGTCAGCTATCGGTCGGTTCAGACTCAAAAGCACACAACAACAATAGCAAATAGGGATTCGGGTAGCAAGACCCACCTCAAAGTTTCGTCTCTCAACATAAATGATACTATACTGTCCACACACATATGTGTCTGGGGTTTTTTTTAATAAAAGCAATGTTTTGTAACCTTTTCACTTCACTAACAGACTCCACAAACTGTGGGGGGAAGCAATGTTTCAGCAGTTTCTGGTAAATCCGTTTCTTGATAACCTAGATAAAGGCCTGCCTACAATGCAGAAGGAACACACAGGAAATTCACTGCAGCACTGTAATAATCACCAAAAATGGCTAACAAACTGGAATGTCAAGAGCAACAAAAAGGCTAAATAAATTCTGCTACATCCACTAGATGGAATCAGATGTCAAGAACAGACCTCCAACACACACGCATTCTGTGTGACACCATCATTTACAGTGAACTGCGGCACCTTCCGTTTTCACCTAAAGCCTTCTACTATTCCAGGACGCGGTGCACACCATCTCACGGCACTCGGTCTCCTTCTCCTCACCCTCCTCCTGGTTTTAGGCAACTGTGAAAGCTTTGATCACTGGTCGCAGGATACCCTGCTACTGGAATATATTTGGTGCTTTTCTCATCGGTAGGTTTGTTTGAGGGAGTAAAATCACAGAAGTAAAATGTCATTGTGATTCTCTCATGTCAAGGGTACACAGTATCAACATGGTTTCTCTCTCATGAAACTAAGATTTGATTTTTTTGTTTCCCGTTTTGCATTCTTTTTTAAAACCGTGTGTATCACTATTCAAATACTTCCTTCATACGCAAAAACAGAATAGAGTCCTGGGATGATCACTTTTGCTGATCAATTCCCTCTCCCACAAAATAACTTCTGTTTCCTCTTTAAAACCTAAAGTGGGGTCTGAACACCAATTTCTGGAGTTAAAGAAGAGAAACACTAGGAAGCTCAGCCGCTCACTGCAGAATGCAACATTCCACATCCTGCCCTCAAGCAGAACAAGGCAACTGATCGCTCAGGAAAAAGACCGGTAACAAAATCTCTGGAAATCAATACACTCCTTGGTAAAATATCGTTTCTACCCACAACATGGAAGGTGAGGCAACCCCAGCAGTCACAAAGGCCCAGCCCTCCACCTGCTCCAGAAATAACAACAACAGTGGCTCTTGGTTTTCGCAGTTTAATGTAATTTCTCACAGGTCACTGTTGCCCCAAAGTCACACATTTCTCTTAAAATTAGTATCACAGCTGTGCTTCAAGAGCACAGACTGTATGTTTCTATCTACGATCTGTGACATTTTTACTACTCATTAAGAGATACAGCTTAGGAAAACTTGGAGGCGGGGAGTGTGGATCAAGAGAAGCAATAAACTCGCACCAAAGCTGGAAGATGGTATTAACTTAAAGCCCCAGTGGTGAGTCCAGAGAACCACAATGCTAAACTTTGGCAGTTCAAATCCACCAGCTGCTTCACAGGACAAAGATACAGTCTCCGCGCTTGTGACTTACAGCCTCAGAGACCCGAGGGAAGGTCAGTGATGAGACAGCACGGAGTCCATGGCAGTGAGCTCTGAGAAATCACTAAGCTGACTTTAAAATACTCCAAAGTTCTGTCTGAGGTAATCACTTTGTAATAGGAGAAATACCCGAGTGGACAGACTCAAGAGAGAAAAAATACCTAAGTCTTTAATCCTAGACAAAACCACTCAAGTCTAGAAGTTGAAGGAGAAAATGATGTCAGGGGGGAGCAACATTAATTGACCTCAGCCATCAGGTTAACACACAAATACACAGGAAGAAACGACTGGACTTGAAAGATATAAAGAGGCAGAAAAAAACAACTTAAAAATATCCTTCTTCTCTTTCAATAAAACAAAAGTCTCAGTGTAGCGGGAAGGAGGCAAATGTGCACTGGTGAATGAATGAAAGGAGAGTCCAACCTTTGCATAAACTTTTGTTAAAAATCACAGTTTAGGGGGTGGGGGTGGGGTGGGGGGGGAGAAAAGTGCAACAATGAATGAATGGAATTCCAAAATCTCTGTAGATGTTCATTGCAATTAAAAAAAAAATCACAATTTAAAAAAATATCCTAGTCTATCTAGGATTTACGACCGCTAGGGTATCAGCAATGGCCCTCAGGGTTAGCTGTGTGTCAGGCCCACCCTGGAGAGCCTGTAAGAGCCCCAATGCCCAGGCCTCAGCCCAAACCAATTAAATGACTCTCGGGGGTGAACCAGGCACAGCACTCGGTACAGCTTCCCAGGCGATTCCAAATGTGGGGCCAGCGTCGAGAGCCTCAAGTTAAAGTGCGAGAGAATTCCCATTCTAGCAATAGTGTGAACTCTTATCACCACTGTCCAGGCTCCTTGTCCCCAGATCCACTCTTTCTCTGCTTCAAGCAGAAAGAAATGCTGGATAAACTGGAGGAAGGAGAAATTCTTGCACAGCTGAATATGAAATTAAAAAAAGGGAAATTCTCAAGGTTCAGAAATGAAAAGGAAACAAGAAACAGAGCAGGGGGACGTGGGATATTAAACAGAGATCCTTCTTAAATGCCACCAGACTCAGGTTCTACAATCCCCATCTAAACAGAAAACCTGGCACTCAGTTGATTTAAATGTGAGAGAGAGAAGTGAGACTCTTCATGAAGCCACAGCAAAAGACCTACTTCCCATAGGTAGGTAAACTAGTACAGCCACGTCTACGAGAGACACCTACTGTTGTTGTTGTTAAGTGCCGTCAAGTCACAGATGACTCATAGCGACCCTATGAATGAAAGATCTGAACACGTACGAGACGGGCTAAAAACCAACATACACTGACAACAGAGAGCATCAAGAACTCTCGTATACTGTCAACAGGAATGTGAGGTAGCAGTCACTTTGAAAGACTGTCTGGCAGTTTATTTCCCAGTTAAATATGGGTTTATCCTATAATCCAATTATCAGGCTCCTGGGTAAATCTCCAAATGAGACGATGACAAAAGTCTACAATAAAAACACACACAAAAATGTTTTCATTGCCAAAACTGATAGAACAAAATCTCTGATTAGGTTACTTTAGAATAAAGGCATTAAAAATACATAAATACAAAACACACAGTACGGCTACAGAAGCATTCCACTCTGGGGGAGAAGTGGCTGATCCGTGCTCTCCTTCTCACTGGCATCAATCGAAACCAACTCAGAATCAACCCTCCACTGGATTTCTGAGTGGGAGTGGGGTCCACAAAAACCCCACAACCAACCGCAGATGATTTAAAATAGAGTAAGAAATCTCTGGACAAGAAAAGATCTCCCACAGAGCCTTCAGAAAGTGTGGTTCCGCTGGCACCTTGACTTTGAACTTTCAGCCTCCGGCAGAACTGAAAAGACAATTTATTCTGTTATTTCCAACCACTCGACAAACAAGAGTCCACTAAAATAATATCCTGAATGTGAAGGAAATGAAAACCCACCATCACTCATTAAACTAAGAACCAAGAAAAGCATGAATAAGACAATTAACTGACATCAACACTGAGATAAATCCAGTGTTGAAATTACACGACAAGAATTTTAAAGCAGCCCGTAACATGCAATTACAAATTCTCAAAACAAAACCAGAAAATCATTTTTTTAATGGAATGACAGAACTAAAATAAACGATGATAACCAAAATGAAAAAGGAATCACTAGATGGGCTCTCAAATAAAACAGTGATGAGACAGAAAAGCATCAGTGAACTTGACACTGTAGCAAAATAATTTATTCAAGCTGAAACAACAGAAGACCGAGTGGGAAGAGGGGGGATAAATAAAACCAAGAGACTCTTAAGCACTCTGGCACAACAACAAAAGCTCCAACAGCATTATCATCAGAGTTCCCGAAGGAGAGGGGGATAGTTTAGGGGTTAAAAAAGTACCTGAAGAAAAAAATGGCTGCAAACCTTCCAAATTTAGTAATAGGCAAAAGCCCCACAGATTCAAGAAACTTAGTAAGTCCCAAGATCATGTCATACCAACATAAATCACAATTACACTTTTGAAAATCAAAGACGTTTCCCAAAGCTTAAAAGCGACCAGAGAAAAACAACATATTGCCTGTAAAGGGAGGCCTGGTGCCTTAGTGGTAAGGAGTTGTGCTGCCAACCCAAAGGCACGCGGTTCAAATCCACTTGGTGTTCCAAGGGAGAGAGATGGGCGATTGCCTCTGAAAAGCGGCTGAAGGGTCAGTTGTGAGCCTGAAAACCCGTAACAACAACCCAGAATGAAACACCAATACAACTGATAGTAGATTTTCTCAGCTGCAATCACCGAGGTGATAATTAAGCAGACCATCTTTGAAGTGCTGAGAACTGCTAAATACAGTGAGTGTGCTCTTTGCATTCTCTTCCTGAATGACAATAAAGGCATTCTCAGATAAAAGAAAACACAACTCAAAGACCAAACATTGGGGTAACACAGAGCCCATCACCATCTGAATTCTTGTCCACTTTACTCAAGGACTACTGATGTGGACACTCAGTAATATCTGAATGACGAAATGTGACACAGCTCTTAGAAGTTATTAACAATCTGAGGAAATGCTCAAGATACAATATAAAACAAATTTTAAAAGCAGCAGACAAAATTATATATTCAGTATTATTTAAAATATAAATATTTTCTATGATTATAACCTAGAAGGGCATTAGTAGATTTTCTATTTTTTTCCACTTGACTACAGTATATGCTTTTAAAACACTTACCTTTTGCTCTTGTTACATACTCTTGAATCAGAGCCAACTCATAGCTGACCCTCCAGTGGGTTTTCAGAGGCTGTAAATTACATCAGAGACTTTGCACCCTTCTCCCCAGAGCAGTTGGTGGGCTCAAACTGCATGCTTTCGGGTTGGCAGTGCAACTCCCTACCACTGCGCCAGCTGTTGTCATTGTGTACCACAGAGTCGGAACTGACCCACAGCGGAGCCTCCAGCGGGTTTTCAGAAGCAGTTGATCACATAGGAGGACAGTGCCCATCCTTCTCCAGCAGAGCTGCTAGGGAATTCGAACCACTTGCTTTTGGGATTACAGCACAGATTCTTACCACTAGGCCACCAGGGCTCCTTATCTGGCACTAGTGCTCCCTAAAACGCTTACTGTTGTTGTTGTGAACCCTAGAGTCAGAATCAACCAATAGCTGACCCTCCAGCAGGTTTTCAGAGGCAGTTATCACACTGGAGGACGTTGCCCATTCTTCTCCCACAGAGCAGCTGGTGGCCTTGAACCACGTGCCTTTGGGATTGCAGTGTAAGCTTCCTGCCACTAGGCCAAAAACTCTTACTAGCGGGGTAATAAGACTGTAACAATCGTGTACAGAAACCAGTGATACAAAGGGTCATGACAGTGCAGAGTATGCTTAGCTGTGGCAGAGACTGGAGGAGGACCTGCCTGACAGGACAGAGGACGGTTATCACTGAATCCATCACCCGACAGGGAAGAACGCTGTTGTTTGCACACCTGTGAATCTGTCCATTTTTATGCAGGTACTCCAGCCCTTCCAGCACTTCTCTGAGGATTGTAGCAATGGTGGGTTCATCGAGGACTCCGCTTTTGTGTTCCCCCTTTGCCACGATATGCTTAATAATATCCAAAACAGACCCTGGAGGCAGAAGACACAGCAGCTGCATCAATATTCAGGCGAGTCAGCATAAGGCAGTCATTTCAGAAGCAAAATACATGAAAACTTTTCTATAAACCTAACTGTGCAGGAAACAAAGGGGAAGAAACAAAATTTAATAGCTTAAAAGTGAGTCATTTCAAGTTCAACCAGAAAAAAAAGCAGTCTATTAATATCCAAGTAACAGTCCTATATTCAACATCTTTACACTTCTAATGAGAAGCTGGTGGACACAATAGAGGATTTATATTAACTTCTGAAAAAGGCACTATGTCCATCACCACTCTCTATTATATCAGAAACCAATGTAGGCTTCCAATATCAAAGTAGAATCTGCAATGTTATTGTAAAGACAGAAAAACAGAATGAAATTAAGGCCAAATTAGGGCAGAAATACTTGGAAAACAAAGATTATACTTGTATGTATGCTAACTTAAGGGCTAATAGTAATCTTCATGTGAATGGATTCTAGAAATAAGCGAGTCAAAGAAAGATATATGAAGAACAAAACTGCGAGTTGTGTTTGAATATGAATCACCCTGATACAGGAGCAAATACTTTGCCCGCTGCTCTATCAGCCTCACTGTCCCAGGACAGGAAAGAATCCTCTCACTAAAGATGTGAAGATGAGTCACCTGTAGAATTAAAATCATGGCACACTGGGTACCCAAGCAGACAAGTACAATAAAATCAGTTTCCTAGTGCAACAGTGAATGGAAATCCTAAGTCTCTGTAAACTTTCATTAAAAGTAATAAAATTAAAAAAATCAGTTTCCTAGGGATTCATAAGATCTCTGACAGTATAGTGGCCCATGGAGATCACTGAAGTAAAACAACGATCTCCAACATTATGTCCCAAGAATTATGGCACAGAGGGCAGAACAAGATGAAGGCATAAACATAAACACACACACACACACCCCTACAAAATCTGTGAGAAAACAGTCAAAATCTAATACAATCAACAGTCAACAGCTCGAGGCATCCATGAACAGTGAATCAAGAAAAATCACTCAGAAGCCAAGAGCCGGGACGCAGAGCTGCCCCATCTGTCCAGCTCCACCACCTGCCCGGATCAGCACAGCTATCTCATGGCAGCCACGGTGACTGGCACCCCAAGTGAGCAGTCTCAGATGGAAAAACAGCCAGCATCTCCAGAAGGAGAGCCTGGAAGTGGAACAGCGCTGGCTGGTGCTCTCGGCCACGGGCCTGCAGGGAACTTGCAGCAGCCATTGTTTTCAGACGGGGAGCGTGGTGCTGGAGGTCCAGTGAGCACTCCTGAGCAAGGACTCCTGTGTCTGCGACAGCTGCTGGACCCGCACAGAAGGTCTGGCGTAACAAAGTGCAGAGTTCACGCCTCCAGGTGGAGAGTCTGCTGGTGAATCTGCAGTCAGAGCTATGCTGGGGGTTTCTGGGACTAGGGGTGCACGTTCCACCCCCATGTGCACCAGCTGCGGGAGCCTGGGGTGTCAGACATCCACAGCCAGGGCTCCCAAGGGGGTGCATCTCATGACTCTTCAGTAGCTGATGCTCCCAGCAGTCTGGTGGTGGAGCAGAGCTGACAGCCGTCCCAGGCAAGGCGGTTGTTGTTAGGTGCCGTCAAGTGGTTTGCGGCTCATAGTGACCCTATGTACAACAGCCCTAAACTCCGCTCTGTCCTGTGCCAATCACACTGTCTCTGACACGCCCATCCCGATTACCCCAGTAACTGAATCAATCCACCTCACAGAGGGTCTTCCCCTCCTGCGCTGTCCCTCCACCCTCCCAAGCATGATGCCCTTTTCCAAGGACCGGTCTCTCCTCACATGTCCAAAGTATGTTAGACGAAGCCTCAGAATCCTTGCCTCCAAGGAGCCGCCCAGTTTGACCCTTTCGAGGATGAATCTGTTTGTTTTCCTAGCAGTCCATGGTATTCTCAATACTCTTCTCCAGCACCACAGCTCAAAGGCATCAATTCTCCTTCTATCATCCCTGGTCATTGTCCAACTCTCTGATGCATAACAAGTGATTGCGAAGACCATGGCCTGTGTCAGACACACCTTAGTCTCCAGAGAGACACCATTGCTCTTCAGTACTTTGGAGAGGTCCCTAACAGCAGACTTTCCCATGGCAATACAGGTGGCGCCAAGTCCGCCACAGCTGCCATTCTCAAGAAGAGAACTTCGTGGTGAGTCAAGGGCGGCCAAAGCTATCAGAGCTGTGCTGAGGTAGCACCGCGTGTGCTCCAAGGCCGGAAGCTGCTGCCAAAGTGGCACAGGCAGCGTGTCAGAGTCTATGTGACAGCCAGTGTGACACTCGGAGTGGCAGAGCCAAGCGCTCCCACTCAGGGATCCTCTCACTGAAGGGGCCACACCAGTTGTTCCAAGACAGAACTGGGTGCTCCAGCAGCAGAGCTAACACTCCCGTTTCCAGTCGGTACAACACTGGCAGCCAGCAGCCTTGAAACTAGACGACAGTGGTGAAGTGACCACAGCAGGTGCACCAAGGCAAGGGGTCTGGTGCTAAAATCGAAAGCTGCACCAGTCAACAATTAAAAACAATAGTAACAAAAACCAGCAAGTCCTAAGGAAGTGGAAGCAGCCGTTTTCCATAATTACGGCAATGAAATGGTCAAATGTCCCAGTTTCAACAAAATCCTACAAAGCACAGAATAAACAGGAAAGTGCTCCATACCAAGAGTAAAATAAAGTGACAGAACCTACCCCGGAAGAACAGCAGATAGTGTACTTACCTAATAGGCAAAGACTATAAAAAGCTGTGTAAGACGTGCAGGAAAAGCGAAAGAAAAACCCAAAGAACTGATGGGATCTGAAGCACAAAAAACCAAATAAGAATTCCAATAAAGGAGAAACTGACCCAGCAATTCCATTACTGGGAATACACCCCAAAGAGACCGTAACTGCCACCCAAGCAGATGTATGCACACCCATGTTTATCGCAGCTCTGTTCACAATAGCAAGGAGTAGGAAACCACCTAAGTGCCCATCAACAAACGAATAGATAGAGAAGCTCTGGTATATTCACACAATGGAATACTACGCTGCACTGAAAAACAAGGAGCTCATGCAATATTACTCAAAATGAGTGACCGTGGAAGACATTATGCTGAGTGAAGTATCTCAGTCACAAAAGGACAAATACTGCATGGTGCCACTGTTGTAAAACGGGACTGACATCAGAGTTGGGGGTAGACTGAGAAAGATGGGAAAAATTATGTATACTGCATTGAAACAGATGAGGGAGAGAACTGTTTAAAAGGGATATGTGATTAGGTATTATTGTCATGAGAGGAGTCCAGAAAGAAGGCTGCATAGTGGAGAGGACCTGGGGGGACGGATGGTATAACAATGGGGGAACTTTTCTTTTACTTTTCAAAGAAGGGAGTGTACTGGGGGGAGTGGGGGAGGGGAGAAAAGTGCAACAATGAATGGAAATCCAAAGTCTCTGTAAATTTTCATTAAAATAAAAAAAAGATTATACACACACACACACACATATACATACATATAAAAAGGAGAAATTATAAAAAAAATGTACCAAACAGAAATGCTGGAACTGAAAAGTACAAGAACTTATAACTCAATGGCTCAAGTCAGACCCTGACCGTCCAGCAGGTTTCTGAGGCTGGCTGTCAATCACACCGGAGCAAAGTGTCCACCTTGCGCTCTCAGAGCAGACAGGCTGGTGGGTTCACACTGCACAGCTTTGGGGGGGCCCTCTGGGTCAGCAGCACAAGCCCTATGGGCTATGCCCCCAGGGATCCCTATCTCTGTGCAGTAACAGCAGTCACTAGGTTGACTCAGGAGATCTGAAGTGGCAGGAAAAACAAAGAACAAACTGGAAGAAAAACAACTGAGATTATGGAGGGTGAATAGCAAAAAGCACACACACAGTACAAACCCATTAAATACACAGACATCAGGGTTTACTGATGGTTACTAGCAAGGGGCGGCGAAGGCGAGGAAGACCCTCAACCAGGCGGACTGACACAGTGACTGCAGCAATGGACTCGAGTGCGAGAGACTGCGAGGCTGGCACAGAATGGGACACGGTGCAGGTGTCGTGTTCACAGGGTCGCTGGGAGTCACACTCACGGCACCTACCACCACCACAGCGTTGAAAGTAAGAGAGGAAGGGCTTGCTGCTCAGAGGGCACTTCTGTCACTAGAGGTGAAAGAACCTAGAAACAAACAGGGTAGCACCTGCGTAAGGTGAGGAACATCCCAGTCACGGAACAGAACACGGAAAAAAAAGGCAGAATGGCAAAATGTCTTTTTTCCTATCTTTTTAGCCCAATTTTTTAAAAAAGAAGAAAATGCCTGGAAGAAGGCATAAAAACCACACTGAGAGAGTAAATGCAGCTCATTTTTGGACACAGTGCCTCAGTGATCAAGATTAAAACCAAAACCACCACCTATGGGCATCTTTTGAAACCTTGCTGTGGTATGTAATATTTTTGTGGTTTTATTTTATATTGGGTTTGTGTACAAAAGTCTAATACGTTGTGTTTTGTTCACATACACTGTGCTTCACACATTCCTTCATTCACACTGATTCACACAAAAATTCCTATGCATTGTGTCTTATCATCACCATTCATCAATGCCCACTATCACCCTGTCTTTTCAGACCCCCACAGGGCTCTAATTCCTGTATCACTCCCCCTCCTCCACCCCCCAAACTGTGTGGCCCTGAGAATCCCCCCATTCACCCGCTCCCCTTCCCTCTACAGACGTCTGTCCACATCTTACTCACTAGCTGTCTTTCTGGTACATACTTTTCCTTCACACACTTAAAAATGGTGGGGGTGAAGGGAGCACCTAGTGCTAAATGCAGGGGAAGAAATAGTCTAAGTGGATTCTTAAAAAATCTAGGAGGGTGAAATAGAAGTAGATTTTGGCTTTCACTAGAAATTCACTAACTTAATAAGCTGATTCTGGAGGAAGGGCATAACTACAAAGGAAAATGGAATAAAATAGGAA